ACGGGAGGGCCAACAGCAAGCGGATCACCAGCCTGCAGAGGGTGCTTCTGGGTCAAAGAGCTAATTCCCCAGGATGACCAGCAGGAGGCACCGCAGGGGTGAGTCGATGCTGTGCTACAAACCCCCAGATCTTTTTCAGGAGTATTACCACATAGCCAGTTATTCCCCATTTTGTAGTTGTGTGTTTAATTTTTCCTTCCTAAGTGAGGTACTTTGGACTTCTCTTTATTGAATTTAATTTTGTTGATTTCAGACTAATTTTCTCCAATTTGTCAAGGTCATTTTGAATTGTAAGCCTGTTCTTAAAAGTGCTTGCAACCCCTACCACCTTGTTGTCATCTGCAAATTTTATAGGTATACGCTCTACTTTATTATGCAAGTAATTTATGAAAACATTGAATAGTTCCAGACCCAGGACTGACCACTGTGAGACCCCACTAGATACTCAAGTTTGACAGTGAACCACTGATAACTACTCTTTGAATATGGTCTTCAACAAGTTATGCACATCTGGGTATGGAAATTGTATGGCGGGCCATGAATGCTCATGAAATTGGGGTTGGGCTGCTGGGTGAGTGGGCTCTGGGGTGGGGCCAGAAATAGGGAGTTCAAGGTGTGTGAGTGGACTCCATGCTGGGGCAGGAGGGGTGGGACATGGGAGGTGGGGGGGGGTGAGGGCTCCGGCCGTGGTCTCCGACTCCAACTCCGGCAGGAGTAGCAAGTTATATGGGCCCGTGGTGCCCGGGCTCCAGCAAATTCAGGGTCCAGGGAGCCCAGGTCTGTTAGAAGAAAGAAAGAGCAGTCTGACCTAGAGGCAGATTTGAGTAGAAGGGCTTCTTTATTGCGATACTTGTTCCACTGGACCCAAGTGTCCAGTAAGCCCTGAATTAGTTACAGCACATTTTTTTTATGTCTGTTAGTATTTACACGCCTACATCCGTTACAACACCCCCAAAACCCTTATTAAGTAATAAAAAAACACCCATTTTGTTAGTAAACTTACCCTATCTATTGTGCACAGCATTACACATATTACACAGGCATTTTACCTTGAAAATATATTTCTTTGCAACAATTTGTTGCCACAAATCTCCTTGGTTAGCAATTCTCAGGGGAGGGAGGAAGGGGCCATAAGCCTGGGCTTGTTTATGTAGCTGGGAAAGGAAGGGAGGAGGAGATAACACTGCTTTACCCAAAAGGTATCCTTTAGATCCCCACATTTCTTATGCAGCTGCAACACTTATCAATTCTTACAAGCAACAGGGAAGGGCAAAATATGGCAACTTATTTATTAAACAAAGAATTACAGCCTTCTTATGCCTTTGTCCCCTAATGCCATGTTAGCACATTAGCAGCTTCCCAGGTTTTTACTTAACCCATACATATCCCAACACTCCCCCACTCTCTTCAAAGAAGGGCCCAGGTGCCCCTCCTTCTCACACACTGAACGGTGGGGCATTCCGGCTGGAGGCCCTAGCTCCAGCTAGCCTGATACCTTGGTCCACTGATCATACTACGAGGAGAGAGAGAAGGTAGGTTATAAAAAGGAATAAGCCACTGAATTTACAAATATAGCCTTTAGGGAGAGGCTAAGGTAGCACATAATTTTAAACACCTTATAAATTAATATTACAATTAATAGGAATAATATTTTTACAACATGAATAATATGACCATGAAGTGAATGAGTGTCCATCCATTAGGCCTGTCCGAAGGGCACAGGCAACATTAGTTCAAGCAGGCAGTTTAGTAGCCAATTGGAAGGCATTAATTCCTTGAAGGGCCTGGGCTTCCAAGACCTGAGTTGGGCATTGCTTGGCCTGGTGTTGCCCCTACAGTGTTCATGTGCTCTTGTTTATATTATGAGTTTATTGAATATGTACAGAAAAATGGGGTATTGTCCAAACCAGCTTGACCATTTGGTATGGAATTGGGTAATGCACTGGTTCGATTGGTGCATAAATGGATCTGTGAAACTCATTGCTGTGAATAAAGTCCCAATGGCAGCATGTAGCTGTGTGTAATTGTGCCAGATGCTGGTGCATTTGTACTTTAAATTTTTTTTTTAAATTAATGAAGATATCCCATCTCCTAGAACTGGAAAGGACCTTTAAAGGTCTTTGAGTCCAGCCCCCTGCCTTCACTAGCAGGACCAAGTACTGATTTTGCCCCAGATCCCCAAGTGGCCCCCTCAAGGATTGAACTCACAACCCTGGGTTTAGGAGGCCAATGCTCAAACCACTGCACTATCCCTCCCCCCTTTCACATGTTATATTACAGAATTGTGCATACTTTTAGCAGAACATTTTATACCCCATATATATTACACCCAATTGTTTATCACTGGCACAAGCCATTGGGTCTGCTTTTTTATGGCCATTGGGGAGGGGCATATTTAAATATTTTTTATAAACAATTACTTAATTGAATTATTATTCATTTTACACCATTTCATTTTTTATTTATTTCAGTGGTTTCCAGTGAGTGCTTCCCTTCTTCTTATTCTCATAGGGATTATGGGGACCACCTTAGTTGCCATTTTAAGGTACCACTGCAACTATTACCCAGGTGGTAGCCCGAGTTGAGCATTTTTATACACACCTTTTATTTTCAAGTTAGCCTTTTGAAGCCATCCCCCCACCCATGTTACAAGATTCCCTGTTTATTGAGTTAACCGCAGGTTCGCCTCTGCTTCCCTTTTTCATCCCATTGCAGTTGCAGATAGTTGCTGTGCCAGTAGTTCATTGATTTGTTGTTGAAGCTTTACATTTTGATTTATTAATTACTTAGTTACCCAAGGGTTTCCCAGATTCCATACACCCAACCCTGTGGTTCCTACTACCCACAGATCCCTCTTGCAGTGACAATTCCATGTATATTCCCTTACCCACTAATTAAATTGTTGCTTTAACCCTTCTATGTATGTGCTGCAGTTGGGGTGTACCTAGTCCACCCACCATTCTCTGGGGTGTAGCACCCATCCATGTAATGGACTGAAAGGACACATTGACAAGCTCTGGTTGTACCCACTCCCACAGTGGCTTCCACATGTTCGCCCATAAGGAAGTATTTCCAGCTCCAGGCTGTGGCCAGTTTAAATTAGGATCCTTCCAGATTGGCATTCATATTACCTGTAGGGTTACATTTTGCAAAGTGGTTAAATTTTTATATTCTCAACGTTTTAGGGGAGACTTTATGCCCAGTCTGATATGTATATATCTGTAAGCCTAAGGATTGTTCTTTATGGATGTACCATTGTGATTATACATGGTAACACCACACCCCAATTGTGGAACCCCATAACCCCAAAACATCAGGAGACTAGAGGGTTATATGTTTTGGGGGCCCTCCGTGACAAAGCACATGTCCAGGTGACTGTCATTCATTATGACATTCTAATGAATACCATGCTATCTTTCCTGATAAATTTGATATTTTTCATCAGGTTAGGATCCCCTCTTTAATTTATACACTACATACCCACATTGCCAAATTTCCATGGGGGATTAGTAGTAGTTTTTCACAGGTAAATTTTTAAAATTCTCCTCTGCTTCATTACCACCACTTGGGGGTGTAACAGTTCACGTGTTTCCTCCTTTTGACACTTTACATTGCGGGATCTGGGCAGGATTTGCAACAGTGACAATGATGATTAGCAACAATGATTGTTCCATTCCAGGCCAGGGAATTCTTGATTTCCCCTTTGTAGGTCCAGCTTTGATATGCATGTAACAATTTATACATTTTCCTTTTTAACCCCCATTCTGTGCCTTTTTATTTGCGTGCAATAAACCCATTTTCATTTTCCATTTTTTGTTCCCAATAGCAGCAGGCTGGGCCCCAACTGGTTAAAGACTAGGTAAGGAACCCTCCATTTAGGAACTGGGAATGGATGGTATTCTCCTGGAATGCGGTACATCACTTGATTCCCTCCATTGGGTAGACCATGCTTTCCAGTCAGGTTATAACATGCACTAACCTTTGATGCTATATGCATTAATTTTCCTTGTACAATATTTACCAAAATAATGGTAATAAGACAAACAACACAAAAACACACAACACAATCTTTGTTGCGACAGTAGATCCCTGGTGTTCTGGGTTGTTTTTTTACTGGTGCTAGCTTACCCACAGTATCTGAAAAACAAAATAAATGTTTCCCAGCGGAGCTGCAGGGGACAGCCGCCCATTGCCCAGGGCTGGCAGGGACGCTCAGGGGAGGCACACAAGGGTGGCAGGGCCAGGGGAGAGACCCAACCCCGAACATTGGTGGACCCTGTTGGGATATGTATGGGTTAAGTAAAAGCCTGGGAAGCTGCTAATGCCTGTGTAATGCTTGGCAACCTAGCCTGATGGAATGGGCCCCATGTTAAGACCGGTGAATGGCCCAATATTAAGTTACGTTTACTTTTTGTTTTAGAACATTTCTGGTCTAAGCCCTTCCAACTGTCCCAGAATGGGATAGAATTGAAGGAACAATTAGCTGGTGGGCCAGAGCCCACTTCAGTAGACATTAGAGACAAAGACTTCTTCCCCTTGGGGAGATCTGTGGGTGTGTTGGGGTACTTGGAAAGTCCATAAGTGGGCACTGCTTGGAACTTCCCGGTGGACGTTGGGCCAGTAAAAATGAGTGCTAAGTGCATGTGCTATCTGCTACCAGTAATTGGGTCCTCACCTCCCATTTGTTTATCGCACTTGATGTGATATAGGCATTCTTCAAGGAGTATAAAATTGGGCCACTGCCTCAGCTGTTGGGTTCTCTCACAGCAGCAATTTGATCATAGGCCTTGCTCAATGTAAGGTCTCCCCTTTGTTTGCAGATAAAATCTGGGTCATGAGTCAGGGCTTCTAAATCTGGCAATGGCAATCATAGGCGCCGACTTCCCCTCTTCCCGGTGGGTGCTCAACCCCCCCTCCTGACCCCACCCCCATTCCACCCCTTCCCCACCTCTTCTCTGCCTCCTCCCCCTCCCTCTTGGAAAATCCTAAGCGCTGCCAAACAGCTGTTAGGTGGTGGGGTGTGGGAAGCGCTGGGAGGGAGGGTGAGGAGTGGGGACGTAGCACGCTGTGGGGGCAGAGAAAGAGGCAGAAGGGCAGAGCTTGGCTGCCAGTGGGTGCAGTTCTCGGTGGGTGCTCCAGCCCCAGACCACTCACCGAGTCAGTGCCTATGTTGGCAATTTCTTGGTTACTGTTCCTGTCTCTGACTTGATGGATGCCCCATGGATCTTGAACTGCCCTCAAGGGGGTCCTCTAGTTCTTCTACTCTGGCTAATCCTACTAGCCCAGAACCCGCACCTTGACTGCCCATGGTCTCCAGTTTTTCTAGCTTGCAGAGAATTTCCTGAAAGTACTTTCAATCCCAACTAATAATAACAGAACAGAGCAATGGTGAGGACAGCACTACAGGGAGAGCCAAGATATACCATCCCACAAAAGCATAGTTGTCTGCAGGGTTAAGCCTTCACATCCTTGTAAAAGTACAAGCAGGAAGATCATCTTCCTTGGGATCCCTTCAGCCCCCGTGAAGGGACCGTTATTTTGGTGGGTCCTTTGGGCATGCTATGCTGTCCCCTTTTCACACATTGAGGGGGGGTATTCTTTTCATATGTATCATGGTTGCCCACTTGAAAAAACAGATCACCATGTTGTGGTGGGAGCCCATTCTCTCATCTGAAAATGATCCTCTTGCTGTAGGGGTCTGGTATCAAAGTCTATACCACGCCCTCTAAGTAGCAGGGTGGATACCAACTGCCCTGGTTATGTTTCTTCCAGGCCCTTCCCAGCTCATCACTGACTTGCCTAGAGTTAAGCGGTTGTCTTAGCTAGGAGCTTCAGGAGACACATTAAAGAGCCACTTGCAGCTCATGAGCCTCAATCTGAAAATTACTTTAGACTCTGCCATAGCTTAACTTACCCCCTCCCAGAATTCCACCTGAAGATGAGTGCTTTCTGGTTTACCTCTTCAAGGGGGTGAATGGGAGGTATAACACTTAATTCACACAGATTGACTTTGCACAAAATTCTAAGTTACCATTGCTCCTTACTTAACAGATAAAGCACAGAGAGTACAGATCATATAATATACAAGAAGCATCCCAAATGTGATGCCCCTCACCCTTGGGAGTCCGTGGGGAACCATCTGAGTTCAGGTAGGAAGGGTTCCCCCACCTCATCGGGCTCCTGCAGCAGCTTTTCTATGCTTGAGCTGGTGAAAGTGGCTGAAAACCACCCAAATAGATCAGCTCCTGTCCTTTTACAACCTTCCAACCTCTCTGTCAGATGACTCCCAGATCAGCCTCCTCAGGTGCTCACAGACTCCTACCAGTTGATTTTGTTGTCAAGTGACCTCTCCCTTGACAAACCAGTTCTTCTGGGTGGGGAGCCCATCTATTGTCTAGGATGTTGGTTATTAAATCAGAATGGACCTCTATTTAAACACTCTGTTGTGAGCCTGTATCACCCACCTTTGGAATTGCAGTCCAACATGGAGATAAAACCACAGAGAAGATTAAAAAACTGCACCTTTTCAGTTTGGTAAAGATACATACAGAGTTCATACTCTCACACAGAATGCATAAACTGTGCAGACCAATTCCCCAGACATTCACTGACCAATACCAGCAACAGTGCCCTTGTTAAGATTTTATCTTTATCCCCCTTCCCCTAAAAAGGCAGGCACAACATTTTATTATTTATTAAATGAAATTATAATTCTGACCATGGTGTTTCTTTAAGATGACAGTGTTAGGAGCAGTTTTGGAACAGAACAGTGAGTAAAGGAGTATTAAAACCATTCAAAAATGATAAAATTTCAAACTGTGGTCTTCTCTTGATGCAGAATGTAAAGCGGGATGAATTCTCCCCCTCCCCCCCCTTGAAAAAAATAATATTCTCTTTCATTGTTGGCAATTCCAGCTCAGATAGGCCCACACTCCCATCCATTGCTATCAGGGACTGGACTGTCCATCAGTGGAGGAAAAGGAAGTGGGCTAGTAACAAGATGTGTGAGGACATGGCTCACAAGAGTGATGTTCACCTGGAGAACCAGAGGGTGAAGGAGGAGTGGAACATGCTGTGGGAGAAGAAACTGATGGACAAATCCTTATAGGAAGTCAGTAGGAATAGGGAGCAGGACCAGTAGGGGATGGAACAGCTGATCAACTGGTTGCCAACAGGGTCTAGCTACGAGCTCCAATAGCAGTTCCAGAGTTGCCTTCACCACCAGCTCCAGTACTGGTCCCTATGTCATTGCTGATGTTTGCCATACTACATCATCCTACAACCAGTGCAGGCACTGCACAACTCTGGTTTTGCCTTGTCAATGGACATTTTGAACTGGAGTGCATAGGTGTACAACCCTGTACAACCCACACAAGCTGTGCAGCCATGTGCCACATCCTGCCAGGGGGAAGGAAAACAGGAGGTGCTTTTAAAAGAGACATTCCCACTACTAGTGAGACTGTCCTCTGAGAATGTGTATTCACAGTTCATATAAATTCACCATCTAGCATGTTTTTAGTGTTTTGAATACATACATTTGCACTTCACTTCAGCCTTCATACATGTTAATTCCAATTTGTAAACTGAAAGCTAGGGTGCCTGCAATGACTTTGTTAAATGTGCAATCCATCACTGTCCTTTAACTACCAAGTGTGTTATTGAAGCTTCTCTTGTCAGACCATCTGAGCTCAAGGCACAGTTTCATGAACCATGGTAGGAGAAGGTAGACAGGGTCCCTGTGACAGTGTTGGGACTCACCACCTGACGCCTCCTGCTAGTTGTCTCTGGGAATTAGCTCTGTCCAGTGGAGCGCCCCCTCCTGGTGGTGTCCCATCCATCATCTCACCCTCAGTTGGCATCTGAGCCCGCATCACTCACGAGCTCGCGGCATCCTTTTCGAGCCACTGCCCTCCAGCAGTGCCCCTTAGTCCATCCACACCCCCTTCCGGGGGGAGGAGGGTTTGATCACCAGTCTCTCTGCACCCCACCCACCAGGGATCTGGCATAGTCCATAAGGGCCGCTCCCTATGGCTGGGTGTACTGCGAGGGGGGGGGACCCCAGGCCCACCCTCTACTCTGGGTCCCAGCCCAGGGACCCTCTGGCAGCAGCCTCGCTGTCCTCCTTCTCTCCCCTCTGTCTGTCCACATCCCTGGGCCACTTGCCCTTTGGCCCCTCGCACCAGCTAGGCCCTTCCCCTCAGGGCCTGCAGCCTGGCAGATATCGGGCTGGAGTTCCCTTCTGCTCCCCCAGGCCAGGCCTGCACTGCGTGCTAGTCTCCCACCTCTGGAGACAGACCTTCCCCTGGCAAAGGCCTGGTACAGACTACCTGCTGCTATTCTGGACAGCCTTTATATAGGGCCAAGCTGAGCCCTGATTGGCTGTCTCCAATCTCAGCCCTGATTGGCCCTCAGTAAGCCCTTTCCTGATTGGCTGCCGGCCTGCACAGCCTCTTTGGCCTACTCTAGCCCCATCTCACATGGGGGTGGGGCACTCGCCCCACCACAGTCCCCTAAAAGAATGGTGGGCACAGGGTACCCCATTCATAACAATGTCATTAGGAGGGAATAAGGGTCCTGCTTCTTCCAGCAGGCAAAGGCCAAATCTCTTTAGCACCCTGGTGTCATGAATTTTTCCCATACTTCTCACTTTGGTGTTTATGACCCTGCCTCTATGGCTGACAAAAATCTGCAGAACCAGGGAGTAGTGCCCTTTGTGGTTGACATATTTGCTTGCTCCTTGTGGCAGGCAAACTATGGGCACATGTGTGCTATTAATGGCCCCAGTGCAGTTTGGGAACCCCATTGTCTGAAAGCCAGCTATTATTTCAGGTATATGTCTTATGCCCACCACCCACAGGTAAACCACAGTGAGAATTGCCTCAAAAGCCTCCTCTACCAGCATCCCAACAGTTGATTTGCTAATACCAAACTGGTTTACCATGGACCTGTAGCAGTGTGAGTAGCCAGCTTCCAGAGGGCAATTGCAACCCACTTCTGTGGTGGTATGGCCTCCCTCATTCATGTGTTCTGGCACTGGAGAGTTGGGGCAAACTTCTCACACAGCTCCATGAAATCTATTTCTACATGCTGAAGTTCTGGAATCACATTGGTAAGGTGGTATGGTTTGAGGTGTTATTAATGAACTGACAATGCCCATATCCATATTACTGTCTCGTCCAGATGCAGTGATGTCTTCTTAGTGCTGTATCTGTTTTTACGTAACTTGCAGACTGGGTGCAAGATAGTTGAATATTGCCTACTCTCAGTCACACCTCTGTAATCCCATTAAACCCATGGGTTTGTAAAGATATCAATGAGAGCTGCATGTGACCCATTACTGTTAAATATTTTCTAGTAAGTGGTCCGTGGGTTTTTGGGCAGTAAACAATTTTTTAGTATTATTTATTATTAAACTTCCAAACCTCAGCACAGGTTACAACACAAAGTATATGGACAGCACTCAATTAATAACAATAGTAATTAATAGAGATTCAGTTTAAAGGGTAAGTGGAGTTTTGAGCCAGTTCTGGAGCCATTGCTGGTCATAACAGTCATGAGAGCAAGATGCTGATTGTTGCCTATTCTTGTTCATCTTATGTGTAAATTGCACTATTGTGATAAATGCCAATAAACATCTTTTGTGTTATTCACAAGTGGTAAACAGTCACATAAAAACTCTCATGAATTATGTGGCATCAGTGGTGGAGGAACAGAAAAGTGGGTCCTAGGCTGTCCCACAGCAGCACCATCAGCAGTAGCACCCTTTCCCTCCCCCGACTGGCATCAAAACCCTAATCCTGGCCTGGTGCAGAGGGGAGGGCTGGGTGGAGGGAGAGGGGATTGAAGAGTAGGCCTGACCTGCACTCACTCACAACAGCAGCCCGAGTGGCTCCTGTGTCCCCTGCTCTGGGCATTGCACTCTAGCGCAGAGGGTTGCAGTACCACTCAGGATTGGCCCACCTGACCTTCTGCCTTGATGAGGGATAGCTCAGTGGTTTGAGCATTGGCCTGCTAAACCCAGGGTTGTGAGTTCAATCCTTGCTGGTGCCATTTAGGGATGTGGGTCAAAAATCTGTCTGAGGATTGCTCCTGTTTTGAGCAGGGGATTGGACTAGATGACCTCCTGAGGTCCCTTCCAACCCTGATATTCTATGATTTCTGGGACCTTGTGCTCCATATAAACACCACTCCCTGAAGTTTGGCCTTTCCCCCACACACACCATAATGGAGGGTCAAGTGGGCCAAACCTGGGCAGTGCTGCAACCCTATGTGCCAGATTGCAATGCCCAGAGCAGAATGCTGGGCCCCACCCCATGGCACTCAAGATCCATTGCTGTGAGGTGAGTCACAGTTGGGGTGCAGGAGTGAGGGGTGTACATAACAATGTAATGGACAAACAAACACTATCCATGACTTTTTCATACTGTGACAAACCTTGATAATGATAAAAATATTTGAGCCTCCTGGGGCCCTCTAAAACATATGGGCCCCTGTACACCTGCACAAGCTTCACCAGCTATTCCTCTGCTAGTGTTTGGCATTGAAGAAGCTTGTTTTCAGACAGGATCAACAAAATCTATACTTATTTAATTCAAATTTACTGTGTACAATAGATTACTGATGAGGAGGAACCCCCACCCCCATCCTGGTGGGCAGACTCAGGACACCAGTGCCTGCCCTACTAGATGCAGAGGGGCAGAACAGAAAGTATAAAAGGTGGGCCCTGCAGCACAGTTGGGCTGGAACCACCAGAGAGACAGATACCTCCCATCCACTGCAGGGGCTGGAGCCCAAGAGGATCCCTGCAGTGCTGAAGACTTGCCAGAGCTGCCAGAGCCACCAGCCAACACGGGTGCCGAGGAACTGCTAGGAGTGTCGCTGGCTATCTACCCCAGGGAGACAGAGGACACCCATGGAACGAAGGTACTGAACGAAGGAGTTGTAGGAAGTAGCCCAGGGACACTAGACTATAGTCTGCTTGGGTTGTTGCCTGAATCCAGGTCAGCGTGTGTTGACCGGATTCTTGCTGACCCAGTGGCGGAACCATCCTCCCTGGGCTGGGACCTGGTGGAGTAGGGTGGGCCTGGGTCCCCCTACCTTCTGCTGCCAACCCCACCCTGGGGTGGCAGCCTCCCCACCTTAGGCCAGGAGGCCAGCATTTGTCTGCCATCTGCCAGAGCCAGGTTGTCAAATTGTCTGTTTGGTGCCGTGCACTGCCTGGGGGCCTGAGCTCGCTAGACTGTTTCTTGCTCTGCCCTGCCTGAGGCCAGAATCCTGGACTACTGCTGTTTGGCCTTGTCTAGAGCAATGGTTTTCAAACTATGGGTTGCAACCCAGTACTGGGTCATGGAATGTAAGGCACTGGGTCACAGTGGCTCTGGTCAGCACCACCGACTGGACTGTTAAAGTCCATCGGCGGTGCTGCCCGGCTAAGAAGCAGGCTAGTCCCTACCTGTTCTGACACCGCGTTATGCCCTGGAAGCGGCCAGCAGCAGGTCTGGCTCCGAGGTGCGGGGGGAGGGGGGGCACGGGGCTCTGCGTGCTGCCCGCACCCTGAGCACCGGCTCCACACTCCCATTGGCTGGGAACTGACCAATGGGAGCTTTGGGGGGGGGCGGTGCCTGAGGGTGAGAGCTTGCACGCCTCCACTTAGGAGCCGAACCTGCTGGTGGCTGGTTCTGGGGTGCAGCGCGGTCCGCGGTGCCAGGACAGGCAGGAAGCCTACCTTAGCCCCCCTGCTGCACCACTGACCGGGAGCCGCCCGAGGTAACACTGTGCCCCAACCCTGTGCCCCAATCCCCTGCCCCAGCCCTGAGCACCCCTCCCATACCAGAGCCCCTTCCTGCACCCCAAACCCCTCATTCCTGGCCCCACCCCAGAGCCTGCATCCCCAGCCCAGAACCCTGATCCCCTCCCACACCCCAGCCCCCTGCGTCAGCCCAGAGCCCCCTCCCACACTGTGAACCCCTCATTCCTGGCCCCACTCCACACCCCTCACTCCTGCACCCCAACTCTGAGCCCCTCCCACACCCCAAACTCCTCATCCCCAGCTCCATTGGGTCATGGGCATCAACAATTTTCTTCAGCTGGGTCACCAGAAAAAAAGTTTGAAACCACTGGCCTAGAGGACCAGGCCTTAGAGACTGGTAATTCCCCAATAACCCTTGTCTTGCTGTCGATCTGAGAGCAAGGGGGCATGGCTTCTGTCCGAGACTGACTGGAAGAGATGGCCACACACTCCTACACCAAATTAAATTCAGTTCCATTTTTCATCATACTTTTATTACTATAATAAATGGTTGAAATTTTGTATACGTAAACAGGGTAATTGTAATTTATTAGTGATTATTTAGAATTACTAGAGGTTTTTGTTTTTTATTTTTGCTTTTCAGTATAGGAATTATAGCATTGCATGTAAGGCATGTTTAATTATTTATAATTATGGCAGTTGTTACAAAAATAGATGTACCAAAAGGAATTATCTATTTGTATGTATTATTGTCTATGGCACCCATCACCATCTGGCATCCAGACTACTACCATTCATTTAAAGAGATAAATACAATAGTATGAGTCACTCATATACCTGACCCAGTACAGTTACTTCCCCTGAAACATGTTTTGATGTTTTTCAATTAAAAGCATGGGTAAATAGATAGACCTTATTCTGTGCCCACAGGGCCACCAAACTCACGCTTTGGCATGCCATTAGAGGTGGTGAACATCCAGGAGCGGCACCAGGGCTTTTGCCGCCCTAGGCGGCAGCTCTCCTCCACAGTAATCAGCGGCAGCTCCTCCTCTGAAGCTGCGTTCTCAGCGGCGGAGGTCCTTCCGCTCCGGGTCTTCAGGGCACTTCGGCAGCGCATCCCGGAGCAAGTGAAGGACCCGCCATCGAATATCCGCCGACGACCTGGAGCAGAAGAAGCCCCTCACCACCGAAATTCCGCAGAGGGCGGCGAAATGCCGCCCCCCATATCCTGCCGCCCTACGTGACTGCCTAGGGTTGCCTAGTGGAAGCACCAGCCCTGTGAACACCACAGGTAAGGGCCTGCTACTGAAAATGATTTGCTGATGGTCCAGAAAATTTCTCTTCTAACAAGAGCATACTAGTAGATTTTAAAAGACCTGATAGGACTCGATATTTGTGGAAGGTAGAACCTAGGTGGGAGGGTGCCCACAATTTAGAGCTTAAAAAAAATCTAAGCCTTAATTCATTTATCTATTAAACATATTACAGACAAAAATTGTGAAAGTGCTTGGAGGAGGGAAGGGTTGTTTTGCTTTTATGTGATTGAACTGTGGCAGTTAGTAATTTTAGAGAATAAACAATGTGACAACTACTTAACAGCAGATGGGAGAAAAAAAGAACTCCTCATTACTGGCATACTCCCACTCCTGTGGTCCCACTTCGCATGATCTCAGTTGCACTCTATAATTGGAAGATAAGGCAGCAGTTTTTTTTTCTTTTCATAGCATAAAGGAATACAGATAACAAGCATTAAATAAGAAACATTGCACTATACCAAGATTAACAAAAGTAATAATGCTGACCCTGCTAGCACTCAGATCTTTTCAACCGTGAATAATCATTCTGACCAAGAGGAGCAAGGCACATAGTCCTCTATCTTGTACATGATAGAAGCACAGCCACTCCTTCATAATTAATCATTTACTGAAACAGTTCCCCTACACCTGGGAAGATTATTCTGAAGCCCTTTCCCAGCTAAGGTTTCCCTTTAAACAAAAAGAAATCTCTTAGAGGTACTTTAAATTGATATAGACAATTTTACATTTCTGATCTACCAAAGTTCCGTTTGCACAGTAGCAATCCCTGTCTCCTCACCCAAGTGTTTCCTATAAGTATATCTAAATCTTTGTGATGTTTTCTAAAATTCAAGTTGAAAATGTGCAACTTTGGCCTGGTAAACATTTTCCTGGTGGAGTAAACCATTTTACAATAGTATGAAAATTAATGACCCATAAAAGGAGTCTCTTAAAATTAAAATCAATTGGTACTCACTGTATTATGTGTATACACTCATCAGAGAGCAATGTTGAATTTCAGAGCCACCTTGTCAAAATGTTAATTTGTGATGGTTTACATCTCTCCTAATCCAAATTATAATTTCTGCAGGTTTAGCTGACTGCAGATCATTCCTGTCAAAGAGTGAAATCCTGTTCCCATTAAAGTCAATAGCAAAGCTCCTATTGACTTCAGTGGTGGTGGGTTTTCACCCAAAGAATATTCCAGACAGCATATAATCTTAGGGACGCCATGAATTGACTGATGAAAGCATTAGCTTCCCATTACTTTTGTCTAAAGGTTTCTTTAATGAGTACACAGCTGAGTAGACTATCTTAATAAAAGTACCCTCTTTTGCACTCCAAACCTAATATCAGTATCTGTATATCTGTGTACTAGAAGTAGGATGCACCTCTATCCTCTTTCAGTTTCTCACTCAGGACATGGGTCTTCTAAAATCTTCCTCTTTCTTCATAGAAGGAGAGAGAAAAAGGATGCTCCTGCCTAGAGACTCAGCCATACATGCTAGAAGGTAAACCAGGCAATACACAGTGCTTATATATGTGTGATTTGAAAATTATAACAGATAGGGAAAATATTGGGGACCAAATTCATCCATGAAATTCATCCCTCCATTAAAGTTAATGCAATTACACCTGAGTCTAAATGAACCTAATGTTTGTTCATTCATTCTCCTTATATATACAGGATGACAAGTTTTTACAACGAAGACAGTCTGTTTTTATAAACTGGACAATGAAGCCACAAAGTTGTACATGTCAATATCTAAAGATATCAGATAGTGTTTCATGAAGGTTCTCCAAAACAACAAGCTGCAGAAACAGTTAACTGCAACAAAAATTGAGTTTTGTGTGAACATATCCCAAAGTTAGAAATATCAAAAACAGCATATAACTGACTTTCAGAGACCTGCACCTGTTACCAAAATGCTATTTATACACACTTTCTGTCATTAGCTCAAAATACTTTTCAAGACCAAGATAGTGATATATTCCTGTCTTGGACAATGCAGAGCATTGTCAGTCCTGGGCTACAACAGGCCATTTGAATGTTTGTCCTCTGACTAGAGGATGGTCTTACTAATGCTGTATACCGAAGTAATACCACCTCTTTATTCCTACTCAACATGCCTGTGCTTATATATCAAGGATCACATTAGCTCTTTTAGACCCAGTATCACACTGGACTTTTAAGGTTCAGCTGGCTATCCACAATCATGCCCAAGTCCTCCTCACAGTCATTGTTTTCCAGGATATATTCCCACTGTAAGTTCTGTATTTGTTGTTCCAAGACGTATGATCTTGTATTTGGCTAAATTAAAAGATGCATTGTTTATTGCATGCAATTTACTAAGAAATCCAGATCACTCCGTCTACGTGTCCTATACTCATCATTATTTAAGGCTCCACCAATCTTTGTGTTATCTTCAAACTTTATAAGCAACGTTTTGATATTTTCTTCCAGATCAATGATATAAACATTCAGTAGCACTGAACCAGGACCCCACTAGAAAAACACCCATTTCATTATTAAGCTCCATTTACAATTATTTTTTGAGATCTATAACACAATTTTCAATCTTTTTAATATGTAGTATATTGATTCTCTTTTAGGCTAATTTTTAACCAGAATTTTGCACTTAACTTTATTGCTAGCTTCATTGTTAGGAAAGCCTAACTCATCTCCAAAATATCCTTAATCCATATCCTTACCATAACATCCTCTATCTTAGAATGAGATGGCAAAAGCCCTTTCATCTCTTTCATATGTTTATTGTCCCAAACAACAGGAGACTTCATGGGTGATGTAATTACTAGACTATTTACAGCTTTCTTGGAATTCTACTATTATTTTAGATATGATTTCATGTTTGGCATTTATAGGCCTCCCTTTTTAATACCATATTTTTAAGGTTTTACAAGGAATCATAGGGTATGTCTACACTTATAGCTGGGATGTGATTCCTAGCTTGAGAAGACATACCCACACTAGCTCTGTTTGAGGTAGAATGACCAAGGGGCTAGCCACCCCAAGACCATAGAAACAGACTTGGCATGGATAGTTCATTCTGCTGCTCATGCTGCTGCAGCTATACTCTAATTTTAATGTGCTTGCTTAATGACTCTAGTGGGAGTATGTCTCTTCAAGATAGAAATTATACTGCCATCTCAAAGTTCAGATGTAACTTAAAACTATTGTTTCTTTCCCTTTCTAGGGAATTGGGGTACAAATCCCATAATCAACTTTACAAAAATCAGCCTTAGTTAACCCTTGTAAAGACAAAATAGGCTAGTGAAAAACATTTCTACATGGTTATTTTGTAAATTATTGTCAGGAAGATCACCAGTATACATGTACCCGAGACAGGAGTTCCTTTTTCCCCCCCCCCTCATGTGGTTAATCAATTAGAATAGAACATCTCCCATCCGTCTCACTCTAAGGATGAGCAAATACTATTGATAGTCTGGGTCAACAAACAAACAATAACAAAATGACAAAAACAGCCATTTTCTGAAGCTGGTTGTTTCCCACTCCCTCATATAAGAAAATGATTACCTTGACTATTTCCTGAATTTTATCTAATTTTTGCTTTGGTTTTCCAGTTATCTTGTTTACAGTGATATTTGTTTTGCTCAGTGGTGATACAGTTTAGGAGTTCAGGTAAGAAGTATAGAGTCCAGTTCATGAAAATGTCATGTGGGCTCAGAGCAAGGTCAGTAGCTAGTTTCTGAAGAAGGCTATCAGTTTCATAAACTGATAGTTTATTTTGTTCTTAAAAGGGAATTGCAAATTCATCCCCTCTTTTGTCTTGTCATCTAAACTGTTTTTAACATTCTTTAAAAGTGATGCTTTACATAATAAAAAGAAAATGTCAGCAACAGTCTTAACTTCTTAAAAGAATTACCTTGTGATACACTGTAATGAGTATAATAGCCCTGTATTTCTAGTATCAGCGCTATTTTGAACAGTTTATGAATTCAGTCATTTAATTTTCTATGAGGCTTGGGGTTCAATTAACATTAGTGTTAATCAGAATTTCGTTTGCTTTAATAGGACATTTGAAAGGCTAGTTATTATTCTATGTGGCCAGAGAGGTCATGTGGGCCAGACTATAACAAGCATATTTGCAGATGGCATTAGAACAGGTTTCATATAAATTATTTCCTGTGAACATGTAGCTAACAAAGAGCTATGCAGAAAGATTAGCAAATGGCAGAGCCAGTGCTCCTGAACCATTTTAGAGAATAATGACTCAGGTGTTCTAGTAGCTAAATTGGTATTTCCCAAAGTGAGGAGCTCACCCCACAAAGGATTGGGAAGGACTAGACAGGCCACTCAATTGCTGTCCAGAGTCTCAGAATGTAGTGTGATATTAAGTTGAATAACTCAGAAAAGTCTAAGTCTATTTCACCTAAAAAAGAGATTCAGTTTGTCTGATCTATTTTCTATAAAACCATGTTGACTGGCAGTGATTGTATTCCCACCCTTTAATTTTTTATTTATTGAATCCCATATCAGCTTTTCCATTTTTTTTTCACGGCACTGATATTAGATTAACTGACCTATAGATACCCGGGTCAGCCTAATTGCTCTTTTTAAATATTGGCACAACATTAGCCTTCAGGAATTTTCCAAGTATTTCAAGATTTATTAAAAAATTAACACCAATGGGCCAGAGTTCTACTGAGCCAGCTCTTTAGGACTCCTGTCCCGGGTGATATCTCTAGTAGTTGTTGTTGAACAACCTCCTTAGTCACTAAGAGACTGGAACTTAGTTTCTCATCCTCATGTGATACAAATCATTATTCTGCTTCTTTCCAAATACAGAAGAGAAAATTTATTTAACACTTGTGCATCATTATTAACAATTTTACCATCTCCATCTAGTAATGGGCTTATACCATTATTTAAAATTTATTTTATTCCTACTACACTTTAAGAATACCTTCATGCTGTCCGTGTCCCTGCCAGCCATAGATTTTTCCCCTGATGTCTTTAGCTCTCCTCAGGCTGGTTTAATGACATTACTGATCTTGGGGACTGTGTGTAATGTTTTCAATTTCAGGATAATTAAAAACTACAAGCAAAGTTATGAGGTAGGGAATTCAGTTAGGCAAAGGCCTGCCTATGTGGAGGCCTCTGTCCGTGCACTAGCTCCTAGATCTCCAAGTCCTTGGCAGCACAGCTACACAGGAAATCAGGGATTACACAGAGCAAAGGGAGACCCTAAGTTAAGGTTGCTTGATCATCATGACTCAGGCTAACTTTCTCTATGGAGTTGGTGCAATGATTCATAGATTCTAAGACCAGAAGGGACCACTGTGATTATCCAGGCTGACCTCCTATATAACACAGACCAGAGAACTTCCTGAAATGATTCCTATTTGAGCTAGAGCATATCTTCCAAAAAATTAAATTAATTTTTAAAAATTGCCAGTGATGGAACAATTTACCAAGGATCATGGTGAATTCTCCAATGATCAGTTACCCCTCACTGTTAAATATTTGGAGTGAGCAGAGGGTGGGACCTCAGAGAAGGGGCAGGACATGGGCGGGACCTTGAAGGATGGGTGGGGCAGGGGGCAGGACAAGGGTGTTCGGTTTTGTGTGAGTAGAAAGTTGGCAATCCTACCATCAAGGAAGTTACCTACTGGATTGAGCCCTGCAGGCAAGATAGGCAGAGGAATGCCTAGTTTGAGAATCTCCCTGAGGCATAGGAATGAGATAGGCACCCGGGTGCCTAGACTGAGACAACTGTGCACAGGCTCAAATGTAGCTGCCTTGGGGACTTCAATGGCAGAAATGTCAGCACTTCCAAGGTAAGGCTGTGGCACCTTGTCTCTATATGGATTTTGGCCTTTGAGAACTACAAATAAAACTGCTAAATAAGAGCTAGGTATTATTAATTATTATTATTTTAGAACATCCCTATATTTTTTAGATAGAAGGCAAACCACATTGCTTCTAAGAAACAAAGGTCATATGTCTCAAAAGTTTGCACACTAAGTACTGTGACAGTCCCAGACCAGTGGGGTACAGGAGTCTGGTCAAGGGCAAATATACTGGTCACTGGATGAGTAGTTTTCTGTTCCCTGAGTGACCAGAGAAGCGGCTGCACTAGAATAATCAGGAACCTGCTAGAACCAGTTAAGACAGGCAGGCTAATTAGGACACCTGGAGCCAATTAAGAAGAAGCTGCTAGACTCAATTAAGGCAGGCTAATCAGGGCACCTGGGTTTTAAAAGGAGCTCACTTCAGTTTGTGGTGTGAGTGTGAGGACCTGGGAGCAAGAAGCTGAGAGGGTATGCTGTTGGAGGACTGAGGAGCACAAGCGTTATCAGACACCAGGAGGAGGGTCCTGTGGTGAGATTAAGGAAGGTGTTTGGAGGAGGCCATGGGGAAGTAGCCCAGGGAGTTGTAGCTGTCATGCAGCTGTTACAGGAGGCACTATAGACAGCTGCAGTCCAGAGGGCCCTGGGCTGGAACCCGGAGTAGAGGGCGGGCTCGGGTTCCCCCCAAACCTCCCAATTGACCTGGACTGTGGGTTCTTCCAGAGGTGAAGGTCTCTGGGCTGTTCCCCAACCCACATGGTGAATCTCTGAGGCAAGAAAATCCGCCAATAAGCGCAGGACCCACCAAGATAGAGGAGGAACTTTGTCACAGTACTTATAAGCTGCACATTGTTTTTCATTACCGATGATTTGTTTTCTTGCAGAACAACTTCTTGTAAAATATTAAACATATTCAAAGTGACTAATGCACTTTTTGAATCTAAGTATTCCTCAATGAAAAATTAACAATACACACAATTTTGATTTCTGTCTGCAATAGTCAAAACTTGTGTTTTACTTTATAAGTAATTAATCCTTATACACATCTATTTAAAACTGACATTAAATTTGCATCTTCACTGTTTATTGGACTTGACTTTATTCTGCTTTTCACATAAAAAGGGCTTTTGGTAGACTTGGAAGAGTCTAAAATTATAAATGCAAGCGCAAATACAGTATCTAAATTGACTGTAGTGTGATTGTTTGCATCAAGTAAAACCTAGAAGTTAGCTATAGCTCTGTTTTTGACTCTTTGCTTTTTAATCTAGTGGAGTACAATATTACACATCCTACTTTACAATAAGAAAAAAACAATAAACTTTGTAGTTACATTTTATTTCAAAACAATACCCATTACATATCAAGCAAAGGAGTACTATTTGTATTTAAAATAAGTACATATAATATGAGTATCAAAAAGACAATAATTTATGAACTTAATACAAGACAGATGTTGAATTTATAGTGCTGGCAATGTGTAACTTAAGTTTCTAATGAACTAAACTTTATTTTTGACTATATTTATCATTCACAATATCAAGATTGCCCTCTGTAGCCACAGTGGGCCAAATTCATCTTTGTTATAACTCAAGTAGAGCCAAAACATCTTTATAACTGACCTATTTTTACAGGCCCAACACCTTTGCACATCTTTATTTGAAGAAATAAATGTTTGTTTCAAAAACAACACCGTACTTCTGAGACAAAAGTGTGCATTTCTCTGATAACTCACTACAAAAATTATTTGTGGCTACTTTTATTAAACATACATAAAGGAGTTGTAAAAGACTAGGATAATGATAAGATTGAGAATCCTTTTGACTTCTTACTAAAAGAACCTAGAGAGGGTTTGTGTGTGTGTGTGTGTGTGTGTGTGTGTTATTTTATTATATATATATATGGGGGGGAGAGAATGAGAGAGAGTAAAAGCACACAAGATAACAGCATAAGGAAGATGTCCTTGCTGTTTCTTTCCAGATGTTATAAAAGCATCACAATTCTGACTGGCACTGTGGGACAAAACAAAGCTTCATGGTCTAAAATAATGCATAAGGATTTATATTATCAGATTGGACATTCCTAGCCTTCCTGTCTACATCTACTTCTGTCATTCATCTATTCAGACTTTCTGTTGCCTCCCCAAAGGATTGTATCCTCACTTGTCTCTTGCTTTATCAGCTCCCTAAATAAGAATATATTATTCAAATTAGTTACACATTGTATTTATTAACTATTGTGAGACAAGTCCTGATGGACTTATTTAGGTGAATAGCTCCACTTACCTCAGTAAGATTACTCACCTGAGTAAGGCCAGGAGGATTTGGATCTAGAGATATTTACAACAGATGTGAATAAGGCCAAAAAAACCTTATTTAATTATTGAATAGAATATGCTTGCATTCAATAAAGCTCTACTTTATTCTGATCTTTATACAGTGAGTGACCAGGAATCCACACAGACTTGCACCTTGTAGACCAGAAAAAAAACTAAAGGGTTATTTTCTTTTAACTACAGCATTCTTCAAATTTTTGTTGAACAGTTGAGAATAGAGACCTGGTGTAAATTCATAATTCTGCATTATATTGTCCTGAAAATTTTTTAAATAATTGAATCCCAAAACTGAATAAAGAAAGATTAAATGACTAAAATCCTAGAGGGCCTGCTTCAGTCTTAATCTAAACACTTTATACTATAATACAGGCCGCAGTTTTCACCAACAGGTAAATATGAGATCTTTAAAATGTAATATTTGAACTTAGATAAAAGTTTAGCACTATGAATGCTATATGAGCTCTCTGTGATTATAGCACAAAAACTAAATTTAATAAAGTTTAAGCACTGATTAGACCCTTTAATATAATAATGTAACCCCTCCCCCTCTCATTCAAATAGAACTGATCTTGATCCAATGTACAAAGGAATTGATTAGTGTTGAGAGCTGTGCCCACTACATCACAAACCCTAGAG